CAAGATATACAGTAGTCAAATAACTTATACTTCCTCTGCCCCATAAAGTTTTCCTAGTTTAAATTTCACGGAGTTTATGAAAAGTGTTTAAAAGTAGAAATTATGTCATTGGAATTTGTTTAGATGGGAGAAATTTTTTAAGGATAATTTTATTAATAAAAAACGAATACATAGTCATGCAAGTGGGAACTGGCTCCACACTTGTAAGTAATGAACTGATAACCTCCTTTTAAAACTTTTGGAGTCTTTAGTTTTAATTGTATGGCTAATTGTTCTTTTCCCTTCCTTTTTTGTTTGGGTATTGAGTACTTTTCTCTATGACGTAAGTTTAAGATGTTTGCTTTATAATTCTAGATTTATTTCCTCTCTTTATCTGTTGTGGCTTTGCTCTACTTAAATGGCATTTTTCGGTTGTTATTACCGTTGGCAGCAATACAGAATACGAAGGTTGTCTCTATAATAATAGGTTGAAATGTAAAATCAGCCTGTGGAAATGGCTAAGAATGTGCCAGATTGGTAATATACATGGGTCATGTACACAAATACTATAGTAGGGTTATGGGCCACAGCTAATGGTTCTTGAACTCAATAAGGTGGTGGGAAGGCTCTATGACCCTATCTCATTTAGGAAATGGCTGTTGTTTATTTCTACTGCTTTAACCATTCAGCAAATTTCAATTTCACATTCTTACAGGGATAGGAATACGGGAATCTGGGATGAGGTGTCCATTACAGTAACAGGGGTGAGTTTTATAGTTTTTTCTTGATTTCATTTTTGATTTTGTTGATCTTTACTGGCAACTTGTAACAGACTAAAAGTATCAAAACCCAGTTAAATTGCTATGGAAAAGTCTTTTAAGATTTCAAGGCTGACAATCCCGTTACTGTTTGTACAGCCTGTGAAGATTGTGGATCCCCACTTGGTCACTACATTCTTCGATGACTATAAAAGAGTATATCTACACACCACAACTGAGTTAATTAATAAAAGTGCCCAGGAAGCCGAGTGTTCTTTAAACATCCAAGTTTCTACTGAACGTGAAGGAAATGTTTGCTTAGTAGAGCATCTTGATACACTACAAATTTCTCTTTCTCCCGGAGAACATGCTCAATATACATTTCCTCAGGTTAGTACTCAGCAATCTTCTCTCTCCAAGGCTAAGGAGGTCACGTGTTGAATGAATGGGTTTCTTCCCTCACATTTTGAAATGTTTGTATCATTTATCCTTTTCTATGCTTTGTTTAAGTTGGTCTATAGTTTGAGGATAAGAAGCTAATATATAAATAGCCTAACGATGCTTGGAATAGAATCCTCATACTAGCAACCTCATCATTCTTGAAAGAGAATGGTGAATGTTTCCTTTTACATTGGCATCTAACTATTGAGGTTGTCTATATATTTCCTTCCACAGCTTTCTTTCTACAAGCCAATTTTGTGGTGGCCTAATGGCATGGGGAAGCAATCTCTATATAATGTTGAAATAACAGTAAATGTGAAAGACTATGGAGAGTCTGACACGTGGAGCAACCATTTTGGCTTTCGCAAAATTGAAAGCACCATAGATAGTTCTACAGGTGGAAGGTAAATGCTTGAGTTTCTTTTACTTCTCTCACGGGTTTCCTTTTCTGTACACAGTGAGCTGCATAATGTTTAGTCACTTTAGTGGATTTACATGTTGATATTTTGCTAAGTTTAAATTCTCTCAATGTCTGCAGACTGTTTAAGGTCAATGGCCAGCCTATATTTATTCGCGGGGGTAATTGGATTCTCTCGGATGGTTTATTACGGCTTTCTAAGGAAAGATACAAGGCAGATATTAAATTTCATGCTGATATGAACTTTAACATGATCCGTTGCTGGGCCGGGGGGTTGGCGGAAAGACCAGATTTTTATTACTACTGTGATTTATACGGCTTGCTGGTGAAACACACTCTCTTATTTTTCCTCATTATGCAGTGTGTTTATATGCCTTTATGCATAGGGATGTGCCCCTTGCCCCCTTCAATTATTTAGACATTACTTGTTTGATATGCGATTTATGGTAAATTGAATTGATAAACAAATTGCTGCAGGTTTGGCAAGAGTTCTGGATTACTGGAGACTGTGATGGACGAGGCGACCCCGTGTCAAATCCAGATGGACCATTGGACCATGACTTGTTCTTGTTTTGTGCAAGGGATACTGTCAAGCTCTTGAGGAATCATCCAAGTCTCGCTTTGTGGGTTGGGGGAAATGAACAAGTGCCACCATCTGATATCAATGAAGCTTTAAAGAATGACCTGCAACTCCACCCATATTTTAAGGATTCCAGTGAAGGACACGTTGTGAAGGACCCAAGCGAATATCTTGATGGCACGCGTGCTTATGTACAGGGATCCATGTGGGATGGATTTGCTGATGGGAAAGGGAACTTTACAGATGGTCCTTATGAAATCCAGAATCCGGAAGACTTCTTCAAAGACGACTATTATGCTTATGGGTTCAATCCTGAGGTTGGCTCTGTCGGGGTGCCAGTGGCAGCTACTATTCGTGCAACGATGCCTTTAGAAGGGTGGCAGATTCCATTGTTTAGAAAACTATCGGATGGGTATGTAAAGGAAGTGCCCAACCCAATATGGGAGTACCACAAATACATTCCATATTCTAACCCAGAAAAGAAGGTCCATGACCAGATTTTACTGTATGGGACACCAAATGATCTTGATGACTTTTGTCTTAAGGTGAATAAAATATCTGTAAACTGACACATATCTTTCATACCATCCACTTTATTTCCTGACCTTTTTTAGACTCATTAGGTTGTGTATGGTTAATTGTTACAGGCACAATTAGTGAACTACATTCAATATAGAGCTCTGCTGGAAGGTTGGACATCCCGTATGTGGACCAAATATACAGGTGTTTTGATATGGAAAACACAAAATCCGTGGACAGGCCTAAGAGGTCAATTCTATGATCATCTCCATGATCAAACAGCAGGGTTTTATGGTTGCCGCTGTGCTGCCGAACCAGTTCATGTTCAGCTTAATCTGCATACATATATGATAGAGGTAAGCAATTGCCAAGGCCTCATTTTGTTTTACTTCTGGCAATTCTGATTCTCAGAATTAGAATCGTTTTTAGAATTAGGCGAATCTGGAGAATCAATTATTTGGTTAGTTGGTTACTTCTAGGAATCTGATCTTGTGAGAGCAGAATCAACAAGTGATTACTCGCATTCTGAAAATATATCAACTAATTCTAGTTGATTCTGATAGAATCACCTCAATGAAATAAAACCAAACAAAACTCAAGTGTTGATGATAGTGAAGTGCTTTGTGTATCTTTCCTTATGAAAGTTATGAAGATTATCTTGTACCAGTTTTTGGACCAAATGAACCTAGTATAATGCCAACTTCATTTGGGGTTTAGCCGTTTAGGGGTCGATATGTACGCTACCTTACCTTTGTAAAAACAGAGGATGTTGCCCCCACATTGATGCCATTTACTGCCCACCAAAACTTCATAGAAAGCAAGAAGCAGGAAACCTTAAATATAACTTTTTGATTTAGTTTATTATTAACCCAAAGCTAAAACGTTCTAAAAATGACTCTCTTAGCTCCAATGGCAATGGACGCCATTTTGTACTTCATCCATCCAAAAAAGGGTAGATTGGGTTTGCTTAGCATTTGATTCTTGAATCAATATCCAATTTCATTTTGCATTGTCATCTCCAATTCTCAGCTGTTTGATTAGTATTTCCTTTGCTGTTTGACTACAGGTGGTAAACACTACCTCTCAACAGCTTTCTGAAGTTGCTATTGAAGTCACTGTTTGGGATCTGCAAGGAGAGTGTCCGTACTACAAAGTCTCTGAAAAGCTAAATGTACCACCCAAAAAAACAATGTCCACATTTAAGATGGAATACCCTAAGCAGGAGAACGCAAAGCCAGTTTACTTTCTTCTTCTCAAGCTCTACAATGTTTCAGATCAGACCATCTTATCTCGGAACTTTTACTGGCTGCATCTCTCTGGTGGTGATTATAAGCTTTTAGAATCTTACAGGGAGAAGAAAATACCCCTGAAAGTAACTTCTCAAACTTTTATCAATGGGTCTAGCTATGAGATGCGCTTGGTCATTGAGAACACATCAAAGAAGCCTGAATCTGCATTCCTTGAAAACAACCATGTCACTTTAAACAACAGGAGTGTTGATTCAGATGCATTTTTGCAACCAGCTGATTATAATAATCTCACTAGTGGGGAACGCGAAACCAGTTTTTATCAAAAGCTGTGGAGGATGGTTGTTGGGGAACACAGCAACGTGAAGGTTTCAAAAACAGAGGGAACTGCCGAGGCAGGGGTTGCTTTCTTCCTCCATTTCTCAGTTAATAAAGCCTCATCAGACGAAAGTCCCAAGAATGAAGACACACGCATTCTACCAGTTCACTACTCGGACAACTATTTCTCACTCGTACCTGGTGAAGTGATTAAAATAACACTTTCGTTTGAAGTTCCTCCGGGTGTGACCCCAAAAGTTACACTGCGCGGCTGGAACACCCAGGTCATGCATATAGATCTTTGAGCCCACCAAAACAACCATACCGGCTCGATTGCCCTGGTAAATATAAATCTTTTCTCTTTGTCATACTGTGTATATTGTCAAAATTATGGATGCAGGCTGAGGTGAGGTGAGAAGATATGTACAATATTGTATAATAAGGCTGCAAGTTAATTAATAAGAATCTGCCATGCCTACAATGCAGCATAAATAATGCATCTTGTGAATACGAAGTTGTTTGCTATTAAAAACTTTGTGCGAATTGTCATATTGTAGATGAGTTTTTACACTGTTGCAGTGCATTCCTGGGATTGGTAGCATTGGTAGAACCCAGCGGCATTGTCAATACCATACCATTCTAAAATCATATTTAAAAACTCAAACATCTACCACCCAAATATTAAACTGGGCATATTTTAAAAAAAACATTATACATAGAAAAATTAAAAGATAACATGTCTACATTAAAATGTCAATGAATTTATACAAATTCATTGATATTAAATTATTGATGAGTTCCAAACAACAACAATAATAACAACGAAAAATGTTACTCCGTAAAAGAAGGCAAATAAAATACATGACTAAGAGCATTCGTAATGGGAAACATCTAGGAGAGCAAGAGTGCGTATATTGTGCAGCCAGCTGCACAAGAATTATGATATACTCCGTAACATGATAGTACTCACTTTGGAGTAAAGTCATACTCATTTTTGCACAAAAAATAAGTGTTCATTTTGGAGTACAAAGAATATTCATTTTGAAATAACGTGGTATTCAATTACATGTATTCATTACAAATATAATTTTCGTTTATGAATAACATAGTGTTCATTATGAAACATAGTGTTCATTCTCAAATAACATAATATTTATTCTGAAGCATGTTGGCATAACTAAAGATTAGTTTTGCTTAGCTGGCATGGTGGTTAAGTTTGTTATTAGTTAGTTGGCCGGGTTGTTATTTTCTGTTTTCTTTTAGCAATACATATATAGCAGTGCTTCTCCTTTGTATCAAAACAATCAGAGAATTATCATCAATTCACATTCTTCTTCCTTCTTTTCTTTCTCTGGTTCATTTTTCTTCTTCTTCTGTGAAGAAATCCAACATGGTATCAGAGCAGTAGAATTCTCTTCTTCTTCACAGAATTCCTCTTCGCTGTGATCCTGATATCAATGGCGACAGGAAATCCAGGCCAAATCGAGCCTTCTGATCCCTTATATCTTCATCCATCAGATCATCCTGGCCTGGTGCTGATTTCAACAAAATTCGAGGGCGATGGATTCGGATCCTGGCAGAAATCCATGAAGATTGCTCTCTCGGCTAAGAATAAGATGGAATTTGTTCATGGAAGAGTTGCGAAGCCGATCAACAATCCTATCAAACTCAATGCCTGGCAGAGGTGTAATGACATGATTACATCCTGGATTCTGAACACACTAAGCAAGGAAATTGTAGATAGTGTTTTGTATGCAGAAACTGTGACTGATCTTTGGAATGAGCTCATTGATCGTTTTGGACAAACTAATGGAGCGAGGTTATATCAACTTCAGAAAGATCTATGTTCTGTTTCGCAAGGAAATTCTGAAATTTCTGCATATTATACAAAAATGAAGAAAATCTGGGATGAATTAGCAACAGTCTCAAATTTACCCAGGTGTACTTGTGCTGCTGTACAGGAACTTCTGAAATATGAACAGGATCAGAAATTAGTTCAATTCCTAATGGGGCTCAATTCAGATTATAATACCATAAGGGGAAATATTCTCATAATGAGGCCCCTTCCATCTGTTGCTACAGCCTATGGCATGCTTATACATGAGGAGAAGCAAAGGCAGATTCAGGCTGAATCTCCTTTCATTGCTGAACATACATCTTTGAATGCAAATTTGCAGACATCATTTAGAGGAAGAATGGATGATAAGAAGGTCATTGTGTGTGAGCATTGCAAGAAGAAGGGTCACACGGCTAACAAGTGCTATAAGCTTGTGGGGTACCCAAAGGATTTCAAATTTACAAGGAATAGAAGATTAGCAGCAAATGTTCACAATGAAGGAAGCTATGATTCTGCCAGCAACAATTCAAGTGAAGATAGCAGAAATGAGGGCCAGTTCACTCCAGAACTCTGTGGACAATTTTTGAGGATTCTTCAGTCAATGAATGAAGGCAAATCCCACATGACTTCTGATTCCAACTCAAATTCTCAGGCCTTTTCTGCTCACATGGCTGGTATGACCTACTTTCCTTCTGATTTCATAACTTCACATATGTGCAATAGTGTGTGTAAGATTGATAATTGTGCTTGGATTCTGGATACTGGAGCAACTGATCATATGTGTGCTAATCCACTTCTTCTCACTAAAGTCAAACACCTTTCCAGTCCTCATCACATAACTTTACCAACCAATCAACAAATCACAGTGTTTCAAACTGGTTCTGTCACTTTATCTTGTGATATAGTCCTTGATGATGTCCTTTTTGTCCCAGATTTCAAATTTAATCTGTTATCAGTTGGCAAATTATGTAGTCAGTTGGGACTCACAGCCTGTTTTACACCAAACAAATGCATTTTGCAGGGCCTTTCCAAGAGGAGGCCACTGGATCTTGGTGAAAAACATGATGGTCTGTACATAGCCAAATCTCTTCAGTCTTCTCAAGTCTCCCAAATGTCTCATATTAGTTCTTTTGATGTATCATCTTCCTCTACTGATAATGCTCATAGTAGTTCCAGTTGTAATAAGGCTTGTAAAGTTTCAGATGTAACTGTTTGGTACATGAGACTTGGCCATTTGCCTCTTTACAAACTGAAATATATCTGTTCTTTTAATGATGAAAATGTAAATCATTTGTCCTCTTGTGATGTGTGTCCTAAAGCTAGACAACACAAGTTACCATTTCCCCATAGTCTCACTCATTCTGATCACATTTTTGACCTCATTCATTTGGATTTATGGGGACCCTATCACACCAAAACACACAATGGTTTTCAGTATTTCATGACCATAGTAGATGATTTTTCCAGAGCCACATGGACCTATCTCTTGTCTGCCAAAAGCAATGCTCCAGATATCATTCAAACCTTTGTTGTCATGGTTTCTACTCAGTTTGGTAAATCAATAAAAACAGTGAGATCTGATAATGCTCTGGAATTAGGCAAAAGCTCACTCATGTCTAATTTCTTTCTTTCTAAAGGAATCCTCCATCAAACTAGTGTTAGGGACACCCCTCAACAGAATGGAATTGTGGAAAGAAAACACAAACATCTCTTGGAAACATCTAGAGCCTTATTCAGACAGTCCAATTTACCACTCAAATTTTGGGGGGAATGTGTCCTTACTGCCACATATCTTATAAATAGATTCCCAACCAAACTTCTGAAAAACAAAACCCCTTATGAACTTCTGTTTGGAAGGGCACCCCAGTATGATCATTTGAAAGTGTTTGGTTGTTTGTGTTATTCTTCAACTCCTAAAACAGGAAGACATAAGTTTGCAGATCGGGCCACTGCTTGTGTCTTCCTAGGATATCCTTATGGTCAAAAGGCTTACAAAGTCTACAATCTGAACACCCATAAAGTTGAAACTTCAAGAGATGTCATTTTCCATGAAACCATATTTCCTTTTCATAAACATTCCCCTTCACCTCCTTTGTTTCCTTCTCATCATAATCCAAATGAACCATTTCCAGATTCTACTCTTCATACTTCTCCAGTGGTTTCTCATGAATCTCAGTCTTCAGCCACACCTTTGGAGAATGTGGTTACTCAATCCATCAATACTTCACATGACCAACATCATTTAGAACCTCTTAGAAGATCTCACAGAACCCATCAAACTCCCTCATATCTACAGGACTATGTTTGTCAGTCCAATACCCAATTTCGATCCCAGTGTTCCAATGTCATCTCTTCTGACCAGTTTTGTCCTCATACAGTCACTTCCATTTCCCCATCCTCACACATATGTTTGGGAGCTCTAGCTCCAACAAGCCAACAATTTTTGCACACTATTTCTCATATGCAGGAGCCAAGAAATTATGAAGAAGCTAGTGTTGACCCAGCATGGAGACAGGCTATGGACCTAGAATTTAAGGCTTTGGAATCTACTAGGACATGGGAAGTTTGCACTTTACCTAGAGGGAAGAAACCCATAACCAGCAAATGGGTATACAAGCTCAAGTTTAAGTCAGATGGATCTTTAGAAAGACACAAAGCCAGGTTGGTCATTCGTGGGTGTACTCAGAAAGCCGGCATTGATTACCATGAGACATTCTCTCCAGTTGTCAAAATGACCACAGTTAGAACCCTCTTGGCTGTAGCCGTCAAACATAAGTGGCCTATTTTCCAATTGGATGTCAATAACGCATTCTTACATGGAGATCTACATGAAGAAATATACATGAAGCCTCCTTTAGGAATGCAGCTTCCTGATCCCAAATTGGTCCTCAAGTTGAAGAAGTCACTTTATGGTCTTAAACAAGCCTCTAGGCAATGGTATGCCAAACTCTCCATGGTTTTGAGATCCAAAGGGTACATTTCTTCCAAGAATGACTATTCTTTATTCACTAAGCGCTTGGATTCCTCAGTCATTCACCTTGCAGTTTATGTTGATGACATCCTCATAACTGGAGACAACCTAGCTGAAATAGAAGCATTAAAGCTTCATCTTGATGACCTATTTAAGATCAAAGACTTGGGGTTTTTAAGTTACTTTCTTGGTTTAGAAGCTATTCCTGCCAACCAAGGCCTCATTATCACACAAAGGAAATTCACCCTGGATCTCCTTAAGACATTTGGCTGCCCTCCTGATTCTTCAGCTTCATGCCCTCTAGAGGCCAATTTACAACTCAGAATTGGCATTGGATCACCAATATCAGATCCCACACTTTACAGATGTCTTGTGGGGAAACTCAACTTCCTCACTCACACAAGACCAGACATTGCTTTTGCTGTTCAATTTCTAAGTCAGTTCATGCAAGATCCCAGAGAACCTCACTGGGCAGCAGCACAACACACCCTCAGATACCTCAATTCTGCACCTACTCAAGGCTTGTTTTTCAATGATTCTTATGATCTCACTCTCCAAGCATTCTGTGACTCTGATTGGGCTGCTTGCCCTAATACTCGCAGATCTGTTAGTGGCTATTTTGTATTATTTGGTGGCAGTCCCCTCTCTTGGAAAGCAAAGAAACAAACTACTGTCTCCTTAAGTTCAGCGGAAGCTGAATATCGTTCTATTCGAAGGGTTACTGCAGAGCTAGCTTGGTTGTCTCGCCTTCTTACTGATTTTGGGGTTCCTAATATCACTCCTATTCCGGTTCGCTGTGATAGTAAAGCTGCCATCTACATAGCCACAAACCCAGTTTATCATGAACGCACCAAGCATATAGAATTGGATTGCCATTTTGTCAGAGAGAAGTTACAAGATGGCTTGATAATTTTGACTCATGTTCCCAGTTCAGAACAGCTTGCTGATCTTTTCACAAAGAGCTTACCTAGTTCTCTTCACCACAAGCTTCTTGCCAAGTTGGGGGTTCACACACCCTCCAACTTGAGGGGGGGTGTTAGCATAACTAAAGATTAGTTTTGCTTAGCTGGCATGGTGGTTAAGTTTGTTATTAGTTAGTTGGCCGGGTTGTTATTTTCTGTTTTCTTTTAGCAATACATATATAGCAGTGCTCCTTTGTATCAAAACAATCAGAGAATTATCATCAATTCACATTCTTCTTCCTTCTTTTCTTTCTCTGGTTCATTTTTCTTCTTCTTCTGTGAAGAAATCCAACAAAGCAATGTACCGTTCATATTACCAAATTATTCATGGAGAATCATAGCCAATGGTTGCCGCCACCGTCATCACCGCCTAGCTTGGTTGCCGTCG